CTACAGATATTGATATTACTAAGGAACAACCACCCATAGACAAAAAACAATGTAATATAGTCCAATCAAAGGATGATTTTTGGCAGCCAACAGAGAGGCTAGTGGAACCTTTAGAACCAGAAGAAATGAAATTGTTAGATTCTTTCTATGCTCTACCTTGAGAAGTACAAAATGACATAATCAATAGAACTGGTCTTTTAAAGAGCCATTTAAACAGTAAGAAAAAGAGGACCAAATGACCATAAGAAATTTTATTGTCCCATGGGAAATACAGAAACATCTCAGCACATTAATAAGTCTAGGATGAAGGAAGGTTATGACTTAGAGTCCAGAAAAAGAAGACACACACTCTGTACTGTCTGACATTAAAGGAATGAAATCCCTTATGGAATAAACCTATATCTGAGGTCTCCTCTAGTGGTAACACCCCTCCTCTAAAGTCAACAATATCTATTCCTTCTACTTGGCAACACATAAGAGTTCCAGTCAAAGGTGTAACAGATGTCTCTGAAATGGATCTATAGCTACAAAGTGAGAAGGTGCCCATCATCCAACATCAGGTGACAGTGGAACTAAATCCTTTGTTAAATTATTTCAAAAGAGGATGCCAATGTTAAGACCCCCAGTTTAGAACCAGAGGTCACTACTTTACCTATTTGGTTGCAGATGAGAGAACCGGACTCAGCAGAAATCGGCTACTCTAAGAGAACTACTAAGAAGGTCAGCTCTGCACCTATCCCTCTGCTCCCCGTGGTGTTCAATATAAGGTGGAGTTCATCGTTGTAGTTGATTGAACCTGAAGAGGAAGAAGTGGTCCCTGTTGGGTTATCTGGGGAGAGGGACAGTGCTAAAGTGGGAAGTGGGGCCCTGTCCAAGTGCTGGGTGGATATAAGTCCTGGATATGATCAAACACCCTCCCCAAAAATTTTCTGTTGACCTCTGGCCCAACAGCAGGCCTCCAGGCTCACATTCCTCTCTTGGCATGTTGCAAGCTGGCGAGGAAAGGCTATGGATTCCTCTTTTCAAAGTTTTATCAAGAAATTTGACAGTGTTACTCTAAGAGGCTTGGGAGAGGGGGGAGTTGGAGCTAGATGGGTTCACAGGTTATTCACTAAAAGCTGAAGCTAGTGCTAGAGGAGGTCATTCTAAAGGAGGTCTTGGGGTTTTGATTTCCACCAAACTCCAAGCTGCTCATGTTAATTTCATCTCAGTTACTAATATTGCAGTCTCTTTGGTTATTAAACTCCAAATCTTTACTTTACTACTAATTAATGTTTACCTAGTATCCCTCCAGCCAAGACAACAAAATAAGGCTAGGTGGGTAGGATTACATAAAATCATCAGTAGAATGTCATCCTCATATCTCAATGCATAATATTGGCAGGAGATTTCAATGCCAGAATTGGTCAAAATGATGAAGCTCTCTACAACCATTTTGGTGAACATTCTCTTCATTTAGAAGTGGCTCACCTAATTCCAGACAGGCAGTCTAAAGATCTAATCTGCAAATTTTAAGGGTTATTTTTTTACATATGATAAACATCCTAGATTTAGTTTTACTAAATGGTAGAATGGATGGGGACAAACCTGCGGAATATATTTTTCCAACCAGCCATGGAACTTCTACCATTGATTATTTTATTGTTTTCTATGAGTTGTTAAATCTGGTGCTCAGTTTTGAAGTTGGGGTATGCACAGAGAGTGATCATTTCCCTCTAATTGTGTGTCTATCTGCTCAGAATCAGGTTGTTCATGCAGATTATGAACCACTGCTGATTACAGAGTCAGATATAGGAGTATCTAGAGTGAGATGGTCAGCTGAGATGGTGCTTTATTCAGAGAACAGTCTTAGATTGCAGGAGTCCCTTCTGACAGCAAAGGCCCCTGAAAAGGTCCTAAATGTATATCAGGAGATAGTCACAACCTTACAAAGGTGTCTGACACATAATAATCCCATAAAACAGAATGCAGTTTCTTATAGATCCAAACCTTGGTTTGACCAGGAGTGTCTGGATATGAAGAATTTACTAATAAGACATTATAAAATCTATAGGGAATTGAATCCGCCATCTCTACCGCTGGACTGGTTCTTGCTAAAGAAAAGGTATAAAAACTAATTAAAGATAGAAAAGGAGTTGGCAATGAGAACAAACTAGGAGAAATTAATTGCTGCAGCAAGGTTACATGATGCAGTCACTTTTTGAAAGATAGTTTCTAGAGGGTTAGATAGTAAAATAGGACCAGCAGACTCTTATATACCTGTTAAAACTTGAGAATCATATTTTACCAGACTGTATGCTGTAAGACATGCTAAGCACTGGAACTCACAAGCTGCACCGCAGAATCTCCTGGATTGGCCCCCTGTTACCATCCCTGAAATTAATAGGCTTATTTCTAAACTTAAAGAGGGCAAAGCACCAGGGTGTGATAACATTCCCCCTGAGGTGCTTATAACAAACAGGAATTGGTGGGCCCCAATCCTTGCAATACTTTTTATATGCATAGATTGCTTTGTTTTAATACCAGAGGAATGGGGGTTTGCCATCATAAATCTAATATATAAGAAAGGAACAAGATCAGATCCAGCGAATTACAGGCCAATCAGCCTGCTAAGTGTTATCAGCAAGTTGGATGCCCATCATCTTCTTGAAAAATTATTAACTTGGATGGAGGAAGAAAATCATTTGGAAGATGAGCAAGCAAGTTTCAGACCTGATCATTCTACAGAAGATCACTGTATAGTTTTACAACATCTTGTGGACAAATATTCATCTAAATCTTTTTATAGAGCCTTTATTGACTTTAAGTCTGCCTTTGATATGATTCCCTGAGACAGACTAGGGCAGAAACTAGAGACAACTAATATCAGTAAGTGCCTGTGGTTTTTGATTCACAGTCTTTATGAAAAAACATGTTTGAAAGTCAGATGCAATAGGCTAGGCCACCTTACCAAGGCCATTCCAACATTTGCAGGTGTCAGACAAGGCTGTGTGTTAGCTCTCTCTTTGTTTAATATCTATATAAACTCTCTAGTTAAGAGTCTGCCTGGACTAAATTTCCACCCTCCCAACCTAGCAGGTAGACCCCTATCAACTATGCAGATGATGTAGTAGTCCCCTCCTTAACTTCTGTCAGCCTACGGTGGTTATTAAAAGCTTTGGGTAATTATTGTAAAACCAATTAATTAAAAATTAACTATAATAAATCTAAAGTCCTAGTGTATACTAGGAAATGGAGCATGCACAATTGCCAAGTAAATGATTACCCAATTGAGCAGGTAAAATCCTACAATAATTTGGGAGTGATTTTTCAGTCCTCAGGCTCCTGGAAAGCCCAATCTTCTAATGCCACAGCAAATGCTCAGAGAAGTATAAAGTCACTTTTTTTCCTATCTTTTTTTTTTAAACCAAAGGAGATCAGCATATTCCACCAGCCATTCAGGTCCTTAATATAAAGGCATTGGCACAGATGTTATATGGTGTGCAATGGTGTGTTTTTACTAATTTTGTTTCAATGGAATCCACCCAGACAAAATTTTTGAGATCTATTCTTGGTCTTCCTAGTTGTGTGCCTAATGCATTTTTACATTTAGAGACAGGTCAAATGTCAATTGAGTATTGGGCATAGGTACTTAAGTTTAATTTTTGGCTATGAATGCTTTTTACCCTGGTGGGATTGGCTCCTAAGACTCTGAATGAGAAAGTAGCATAAATCTCACAAACCACTATTCTGGTAATGGGTTATATGCAACATGTATATGCAGCTACTGCATGCCCTGACTTCAGAGATAAGGGAGATACAATAATATCCCTTATGATGCACACATATGCCCCTGTGGAGCTGGCACAGTGGAAACAGTAGGACATGTATTGTTATATTGCCCTTTTTATAATGGTTACTGTCACATTTTTATTTATCCAATTCTTAGAAGTTTTCCTGGAAGAACTGATGACTTTTATTTGCTGGCAGACCAGTGTCCATTGGTAACAACCAAAGTAACCAGCTTTTGTGAAGCAGCAATGGTCTGTTGGCTTAAAATTGTATTTTAAAATTTTATAATGATTTTAAAATTTTAATTTTACATTTTTAAGGAGTAAACTTTGTAATTGGATTCCCAATTAATATTATCTATTTTTGTAATTCGATGCTAATTCTATTTTATTTGTTTCATCTGTATGTCTGATGTTTATCTGATGTCTGATCTGTTGATTGTTAATAAATAATGAATGCAGATTAAAAAAAACTTTACAAAAACCTCAATAAAAGCATAGATATAACAGTTATTTCAAAAACTATGTATAAATGTAAAAACATTAAAATTCATTTTTAAAACCTATATGCTATATACAGACAATGTACAAAGAGAAACACACACCATTAAACATTCATCTCAGTCAGCTTCTAAAAGCCTAGTAACATAAAAATGTTTTAACTTGCAAGTGGAAGCAGAGCAAGTATGTGGCTATCCTGACTTCCTAGAAGTTCAAAAGTATGGGAGCAGCCACCAAGAAGTCCCTCTCCTTTGTTCCCACCAAGCAAACCTGAGAAGAGATGAAGGGATGTTCCCACCAAACAAGCCTGAGAAGGGATGAAGAACTTAGAGCTCTAATAGGCTAATAAAGGGAGATATACTATCAAATAGCCTAGACCCAAGCTATATAGGGCTGTATAAGTCACCAGGAGCATTTTGAAGTGTGCCTGAAAACAAACCAGCTAACAAAAGAGCTGATGCAACAAGGGAGCTGTGTGTTCTCTGTAACCAGCCCCAGTTAACAATTTGGCTGCAGTTCTTTCAATGTCCAAATGGACCTCTCACACTTAGTTCAGTAAAAGGTATGCATGCATTGTTGTTGTTATTGTTGTGAGCCTTTAAGTACTTTCTGACTTATGGCAACCCTAATCTATCATGGATTTCTTTGGCAAGATTTGTTTGGAGGAGATTTGCCATTGCCTTCTCCTGAGAGGATGTGACTTGCCCAAAGTCACCCAGTGGTTTTCCATTGCCAAACAGGGATTTGAACCCTGGCCTCCAGAGTTATAATTCAACACTCAAACCACTACGCCATGCTGCCTCTCATACACCAACCTATACAAGCAGAGCTGTCTCCCTCCCAGGAAATACATAGTGAAAACCTGTAAGCAAGAGAGCTGAATGGATTCTGGATGAACATAGCTGCCTATCTACTAAAGCATCATGACAGGAACAACCTGAGCTATTCCTCTGACAGAAAGGCATTTGTTTGCTACCTCTAGAGAAAATGTTATGTGGTAACAGAAATAAAATATCAAAGCTCTGGCAAGGTTTTCTGTAGAGTTTGGCTCAAAATTCTCATCAGAAGAGTAAAATAAATCTGCATCTTTTTTTAACCATTTGTCATTATTTTTCCTTCTCCTACCAGAGGGACTTTTTAAAAATACAGTCTGATCCAGTTGGAGGAAGAGCACATGACATGCCTACCAGGGTTCTGTCTCCACAAAAACAGCAGACAGTAGCAGTAAGGCATCCACAGAGATATGTTTGCTGTGCATAACTGCATGCATGTCAGAGGAATGAGGGAACTAAAGCTTTAGAAAGAGCACTTTTGAATACAAATGTCAAAGTGTTAAAGCAGTGTATGGACTTTCTCCTTGGCAGATAAGCCAAAGCAGGAAAGCTCTTCCAAAATAAGTGGAAACCAATGAGGCATCCTAAGGGTTCAATCTGACATACAAATGTACCTGGGATAAAGTCAATTGAACTTTGTGGGGTTTCTTTCTGTATTGGTATGCAAAGGATTTTATGCCTAAGTACCTGTCAGTTCTGAGCAGACTCAGATCTCTGTGTAGCCAGTAAATCAGCCAATTGTTGTAATTAGGAGTTTATTGAAGAATACAAAGCCAGTAATCCACCAGACTACATTTAAGCCAGAACTAACCCCCCCTTCCAGCAAGCACCTAATTAAACCCCACTAACTAATTTCTCTACCCTCCTTCCATGGCGCGAAAACTAACACCCACCTACCATTCCCACATCTAGCCATTCCTCCATCCAACCAGGCCCCCACCTTATCATCTTACACCACCTCCCATTCCCAGGCCTAGCTGACTCTAAGCTGCACCAACCTCATCCCACCAGCAATGCATTCCAGGAGGCCCAAGTTCCCAAAACAACCTCAGTCTCATCACCTCCCATCCCCCTAGCCACTCACAACCCATTATGTCTGGAGCCTATAATATTTGCTATCAGCCTAAGCCCACTTCTAGCTCAACCATCATCCCCACCAAACTACCAACCCAACCAATACCTGGCAGAACATATGCATGCAGGCATAGTTCTGACAGTACCCTAAAGACTCCAGATTTCATCTGATCCCAGAAACTAAGCAGGATTGGCTCTGGATAGTACTTGGATGAGAGACTGCCAATGAATATCAGGTGTTTGTAGGCTATTTTTCAGAGGAAGGAACTGGTAAAACCACCTCTAAGTATTCCTTGCCTAAGAACCCTATGAAATTCATGAGGTCATCATAAGTCAACAGACTACTTGATGGCACACGCAAGCATACACATGCAAATGATCATACTGCTCAAAGAGTTCAAGGATAATCTTCCTGGTTATCAAGGCTGCAATCTTATTCTCATTTATATTATGCCTTATTGTACTCACGAGGACTTTGGAGAAGGCATTGTAAACCCAAAGTTCTAGAAACTGGTCATATGTGGATCTCTGTGTGTCAGCTCTACTTCTGCAGAAATGGGAAATCTGGAACTGAAAAAGAGATGCAACCACCTTTAATTTTAAAAACATACTTGTCTCTAGTCATTATGCTTGTGAATATAAGCTTGACATGGATGTCAAAAGTCTAAAAACAATTAAGAAACTGGTGAAGTGGGGTAGGAGGGTGGGGAGAGCAGCTCAGTGGCCATGATGGCTACAGGTTCTGGAAGATAAGTTGAACTAACTTTCTTCAAGTTCTGCTTTCCAGTGGGTATAGGAAGGACTTTTACAGTTTAGCTTCTTGCCTGTTCTCTAGCTAGCTAACCAAGTAATATATAAGTGGATACTATCTTAATAGAATAGTCTAGACAGCCCAGTCAAATCCACTTATTCTCAGTACAGAATGTAGATGGACATCTTCCTGTCCTACATATCAGCACCACTTCCTAGAATCTGTGATAAGACCAGAATGTGCAGAAAAATGTTCAATTGGCCTGATCTGCTAGACAGCTGTCACACAGAACCCTTGCAGCCAGGTACTGAAACCAAAATGCTATCTAACCTTGATATTTCAGCCTACTTTCATTACTACAAGCAATGATTCTGTCAGCCAAAAAAAATATTTAAGTCCATAGACCTTATCCCACACTATCACGTAAGGGGGGAAAAAGAAGAAGCCCCCTGTACCTATTATTCAAATTGAATTTATGATTCAGCCCCAAGGGTTTCTGAATGAGACAAATGAAGTAGATCCATTCCAATCTTGTTTCAGGTCTAATTATGAGACAGAGATGCTTGGGTTGCCTTGGTAGAAACCTTCACTGAGAACAAGACAGCGGAATATGTTCCTGTTGATTCTGCTGACCATAGTGACTCATCCACCATGATATTCTTCTGGGCAGCCTTCCTGGGTTGAAACTTGACTGCACTGTTTTGTAGTGTCTCAGCCATCATTAAGGATGAACCCATAATGTGATGCTAGGAGACTCCTGGTCAACCCCTTAGCTGCTGACCTGTAGGATCCCTTAGGGTTCAACCCCCCCCCCCAAATTTGGAGATACAGCGCCACCAGTATACTGATGACAGCCATATTACTCCTTTCTAGCTCTATTCAAGGAAACTGTCCTGGTTCTAAACCAGTGCCTTTCATCAGTAATGGAATGAATGAGTGCAAATTGCAGTTCAATCCAGACAAGACAGATCAAACATTGATTAGAATGGAGATTGCTATCAAGAGATAAGAAGAGGACTAGGAATGGAAAGGGCAATGATGAAAGAACTAGACAAGATTTTAAAGAGCAAAGATATACAACTGAGTACTAAAGTTAGATGGGCTGCGGTGGCTTAGTGGTTAAGATGCCAGTTCTGACAACCAGAAGATCAGAAAGTTGGCAGTTCAAGTGCTGCATGATGGAGTGATCTCCAGCCACTAGTCCCAGCTTCTGCCAACCTAGCATTTTGAAAGCATGTAAATGCAAGTAGATAAATAGGTACCACTTCAGTGGGAAGGTAACAGCATTTGGTGCAGTCATGCTGGCCACATGACCACCAGAGCAGTCCTTGGACAATGCTGGCTCTTTTGCTTAGTAAAGGAGATGAGCACTGCCCCCCTACAGTTGGTTTCAATTAGACATTCATGTCAAGGGACTACCTTTACCTTTACCTAAATTAGAATCATCCAAGCAATGCTATTCCCCATCACTATGTAAGGATGTGAGAGCTGGACAATGAAAGAAGCAGATAAAAAGAAAATAAACTCATTTGAGATGTGGTGCTGGAAAAGAGTAGTGACGATACTGTGGACAGCCAAAAAGACAAACAAATGGGTCATTTGTTTAATCAAGCCTGAAGTCCCCCTGGAGGCCAAGATGATCAAAGTGAGTCTGTTGTACTTTGGCCACATCATGGGAAGGCATGAATTGTTAGAAAAGATAATAATGCTAGAAAAGATAGAGGGTAGTAGAAAGAGAGGACACACCAAATGGCTAGATTCAATTAGGGAGGTCATGGGCATGAGTCTCCAGGACATGAGAGAGAAGTGGAGGATAGACAGACTTTTGAGATCCACAGGGTTGCCATTAGTAGAAGTCAATGTGAGGGCAGTTAGCAACACCAACACCTTCTATGTGGAGCTGCCTTTAAAGAGCATTTTAAAAAATTGTTAAATGGAGATCACACAACTCCATTGTTGCAGCAGGCCTGGTCTCTTTTCAGGCACAATTCAAAGTGCTGGTAATGACCTTTAAACTCCCATCCCATCTTCTTACCTGCTGAGGAAGCCTTTTCACATTTTCCCACCTGATGAGTCTGGGAGGGGGGTGGGACAGAGTAAAGGGCCTCCCCAGAAGATTGGAAAACATGTGCAAGTTCATATGGGAGAATATGGTCCATCAGATAATCTAGACCCAAGCTTGGGTCTCCCAAGCACATCAGGTGGGAAGATGGGAAAGGGCTTTCTCAGTGGCTTGCTCTGAGCTCTGAAATTTTCTCCCTAGAGAGGTTAGACTAGCACCTTCTTTACTATCCTTAAAACAGCAAACAAACAGTACAGCATCCTCTTTACTATCATTCACTTTCAGAGGCTTTTTAGGGCTGATTGCTCAGGCTTTTCAGAATGTGCTGTACTGTTTGTTTGCTGTTTTAAGGGTTGTGCTTTTAACCACTTTTAATTCTATTGTTAGCTTAATTATATTTTTAACTTTTGTATGATGTGATTTTTTCTTTAGCTGTATTTATTCAAAACTTAATAAGATGCCCAGAGTCTTGAAATGAGAAAGAGGCAGGATATATATATATATATATATATATATATATATATATATATATATATATATATATATATATATATATATATATATATATATAAAATAGTGGTAGTGGTGATGGTGATGATGATATAAAAAGGACAAGACAAAGAATGAAGTCCCAAAATGTATTTCTAAATTTATCACAGGTAGGTACTGTGCCATGAAAAGTTTTTAGTTATACAAAATGTTGTTCTTGCTTTAATCATTCATTCATTCATTCATTCATTCATTCATTCATTCATCCATCTCCTGCCTTTTCTGAAGCCCTGGGACTCAAATTGGCTTAAAACAGCTTAGAAGAAAGAGATTATTCATTTAGGATGTAATACTATCCAAACTATTCATATTCAAGTCTATGATATTGGCAGAACTCTTTTCCAGTACCACATTTCAAAAGAGATTATTCTGTTCTTATCCATTTTTTCACTGTCCAGCTTTCACAAATGTACATAAAAATCAGCAATACAATGGAAAGATCAATCCTAACTTTGGTAATCAATTATATATTCCAACATTTGAAGCTCCTGTCTCATTCCTTCATAGCTACTCTTTCTACGTAGTCTTCTTC